GACCCAGGGAAAAGACTTATCTTAACATGCGATGCTTCACCAGATGGTGTAGGAGCAGTCTTATCCCACATAGATGAAAAGGGTGACAGACCCATTGCTTTTGCGAGTAGATCTTTGAACCAGGCTGAGAAAAATTATTCTCAGTTAGATAGGGAAGGCTTAGACATCATTCTTGGTGTTAAGAAATTTCATAAGTTTCTGTTTGGTAGAAAGTTCACCATCTTTACAGATCATAAACCATTGCTAGGTTTATTTGGGGAAAACAAACCACTACCTGAGCATGCCTCACCAAGAATTCAAAGATGGGCTATCACACTAACTGCATACAATTATGAATTGAAATACAAACCTGGATCTGAGAATAGTGCAGATAGTCTTAGTCGATTACCTTTAAAAAACCAAAGCCTTAGCTATGTACCAGAAGATGTATTTGTTCTTTTCACTATCATGGATAACTCCAATATAATTGTGGATGATGTTAAATAGAAACACAAAAAGATGAGTGCTTAATAAAAGTATATGAGTACTGTAAGAATGGTTGGCCTGAAGAGTCTGTGAATGATGACTTAAGGCCATATAAAATAAGAAAACTGGAATTAAGTCTAAAAGATGGAGAAGATGCAGTCCATTATCAGTCAGAGTTGCCTAAACAAAGTATTTGTAACTTAATAAATGATTATGGTGATATGGCAATTTCAAATGCTTTAAAAGAAAATACATTAAATAAGAAGGAATGTGATCATCAAACAACTTTGCTAACATCATTAGCACTTACAGAAACTAAAAGGGTAACATCAAAAGAAAAAAGATTTTTGCCATTTAATACACCCACTTCAAATACTGGATCACAGTTGCAAAGTGATATGGTCCAGGATAGTACTATCAGATTACCTGAGAAAATTGATCAATCAAAGAAATCTATGTCAGTTAAGGATCTGAATAATAGCATAATACTTTCAGATGCCAATTCAAAAATGAGTACCGGTAACAAATTTTCTCTCAGAGAAAGAGTAAACAGGTTCTTAACCAAATACCGCACAACTCCTCATATAACAACAGGTGTTGCACCATGCGAATTGTTATGTGGTAGGAAAATTAAAACTCACCTTAATCTACTACATCCAACTGTTCAAAGGTCTGTTTCCCAACATCAATATACACAAAAAGTAAATCATGACAAAACATCCATTGAAAGAGAATTTGGATTTAATGAGAATGTGTATCTAAGAAATTATGGGAGAAGGGAAAAATGGACGCCAGGTCAAATTGTTCAATGTACAGGACCTGTGTCTTATAGAGTAAAAACAAATGTTGGACTTATTGTCCGTAGACATGCAGACCAGTTAAAAATAACTTGTGCAGATAATAAGTGTGAATCTGTCAATCCCACCAAATCTGAACAGTTCACACCAACTCAGTTTGTTCCACAACCAAGTTCTGTTGATATGAGTGAACCAAGTGGTCTAGAGTCAGAAAATGTAAATTCTGGAATTAATGATGCTAGACCTCCTGAGATAGAGAATCCAGATGGTCAGAATCTTGAGTCACCAAATCAAAAGCCACTGAGAAGGTCAAACAGAACAATCAAAGTCCCAAATAAGTTAGACCTATGATTTTAAAGGTCAAAAGGACTTTGACATCATTGTTTTGTATCTTGATTATGTTGTAACATATTGTGCATTGTTTGTAAGGATGTAATCTACCATAATGTTCATGTTGCAATATATTTAGTGATTTTAGGATACCATCAATTGTTCTATTGAGAGATGTGTTGTGTTTACTAAGGGTAAAGGGATGTAATAGATTGGGATTTGTGAGGTCAAGGGAACTCACTCTTCTTGTATTAGTATCATATTTATTATCTTATCTTGAGTGATGTCCCTTGTTATATATATATGTTTGTCTCTCGTCACTTCCGCTCTCTCTCTTCCATCATGGCTGAATAAAGACTAGTTAACAACCAACGCGGCTTCTCGTCAGTGTTTCCAATCCATTACACACAGGTTGCCGACCCCTGCTCTATAACAAAGCTCATAGCCACTTACTTATAAACAATAACATTTCTACTGTCATACACATCCAAAAATCAGTTAGACAAGGTTGTCAACTGTCCTCTATGTTATACATCCTTAGTTTAGAACCCCTCTTAGAGAATCTTAGACAGGACAGCACTATAAAAGGACTGAAACTACCAAACATGGCTGATAAAAAGATATTGGCCTAAGTCGATGACACGACTTTTCTACTTCAATCTGAGAAAGGCATAAAGACAGTAATGGAAAGATTTATCGACTTCGGTAAAGCCAGTGGCGGAAAAATCATGTTTTGTCTCTATTGTGTGTGTGTGTTTATCTTTTCCATTATGCACGTTGTGGACCAAAGTACAGTAAACATAAAATAATAGTAAAATGATATTGGAAAAAAGTATTTAAAAGAAAAATAGATGAAAAAAAAAGAAACTATATTTTAATTTAATTATCTTGTATATATGAAAACAAGTTAATAAAAAGTCTAGTGACAATTTAAGCGCAATTTCCTTAATTAATTTTTTGTGACCGAACGAGAAGATATTTTTGAAAACTTTCTTGAGCAATATTGTTCAAAATTATGGCAGGAATCGATTGGTAAATGTTTCAAGTCGCTAAGTCGTCTGGTTGCCGAGATATGGGCCAAAAACTGCATTTTTTCGAGGTTTTTGGCTTTTCCGGGAAATCCAGGAAGGAATTCCGGGTATTTTTGTGGCCCACGATCATCCTCGGAACTTGCTTAACATATTTGCTTTGGAACTAGTCCTCGATATTCCTTCGTTGAGGAGGAGATACGACTTAAAGCTGCGCACATCCATCCATCCATCCAGAAATGACGAATTAATAATCGCAATTCCAGTATGGAAATTGCGCTAAAAATGTATTAAGATTTTGATAACATATTGTAAAATCCAAGCGCACAATTATTGCGTATAAAAATAAGAAACGAAATCAGTTTAGTTTAATTTTATTGTGAAATGTAAGGATCAGCTGAAAAAAACAATATTTCAATAGCCGTATGAACAAAAATAAATATCTCCTAACGTATTTTCCTTTAATTGAATGTTTAATGTCTAAAGTCTAAAATATTGATTCCATCAGCTTGAATATGTACGCTGTGGCCTACAAACTAATGCGTCAGCGATATACACTAAACATGATTTACAAAAGATTTGATGCTGTTTGTTTTTACACGCTTTTATTTAACTCACATTCTTTGTCTGTCTTTCTGTCTGTCTGTCAAGATCGAAACGGCCGAGCGAAATTGCAGGCACTTCTGACAGATACGGTTCGTAATTGGTACGTGGGTCAAGACATTAAGACAATGCATCGTGACATTAAGTTTGAGTTAATTGGTCGCCTGACTAATTTTTTATGAATTAACTAGCGTACCCGTCCCCCGCGCGTTGCCGCGGGGATAGAAGTAAGTTTGACGAAATGTATTAGAAGGATTTCAGCAACGCGTTACCAATCATATGTTCTAAGACGCATGACCGTCTTTTCTAAAAGTGAGTTGTTTAAATGTAAACAATGCCTGCGCTTGGATAATAAATATCGGGATATGGGTTTACCCTCACTACCGCATGAAAACATTGAATGTACATTAATCACTCACCGAAATAATATGGTAGAACACACTTCGGTGACCGCCCATGTGTCAGAGACGTATAGGGGCGCTCTCAGGGCCCCCACCCCCCGATTACACTACCGCATAGGCGCGGCGTACGAACCCTGGCTCCTTAAAACTAACAGGCGCCATCGTGCCAAATAGCATCCTGTTAATAATGATGCTGATTTCGTCAGTCGCTAAAGTGACACAAATGAACAGGATTTTTTTCTTTAACACGTAAAAAAAGTATTGACGTGTTTTAAACATCAGTGTGCCTGATGCAATATGCTAGCGTTACTAATGGTCTATTATTAGATACTAGATCTCAATTTCTGACTGGATTGTCTAATAATAGATGCTTATTGCATCATTCGCAAAGTGACGAAACTCTACAGTAGGCTCCTCATATTCAAAAAGTTATTTTTTCATCTTTGGCAAGGTGACGAAACTGTACAGAAGGTTTTCCTCGCGTTACAAAGTTATTTTTAGAAGCCTGTTGTAGTTTTACCGCTGAATATAGTAGTACCCCTTAATCGCTATGCAGGACGCTCGATTAACGGATGCCAAGTGCCAACATCGTCGCTCTAAAACTCTAGGCTCCAAAACGTGTATTTACGAAAGTTGTACCCTATATGGCGCTGCCCATAAGAAACTTTAGTTTTCTTTTTCGCTGAAATATTCTCGGGAGTATTCTCATCTACTCCCTAAAGTTTCATGGCACTCGGATGAACCGCATCCGAGTTTTATTTTTTATATACCGTGTATAGAGAAAAAAAATCGCTCCTCCCCGGGGGGCGCCGCCCTTGCAATATTAAACAATATTTTTTTTGCAGAACAATACCACTGAGTGATCTAATCATCTCCCCAAAGTTTCATGGTACACGGATGAACGGTGTGAAACCGAAATAGACTTTTATTTTTATAAAACGTATATAGAGAAAAATCGGACCCTCCCGTGGCGCCGCCCTTGCGAAATTAAAAATTATTTTTTTACAGAACCCATCACTAGAGTATTATAATGAACACCCCAAAATTTCATGCCTATCGGATGAACGGTGTCAAATCAAAACCGACTTATATTTTTATATACCGTATATAGAGAAAAAACAAATCGCGCCCTACGGGGGCGCCACCCCTACGAATTTGAAAATGTTTTTTGCGCAAAAACCTCCCCAGGAATATTCTCAACATCTTACCAAAGTTTCATGGCGATCGTGAGAATGGTGTCACTGCAGTTCAATTGTATTATTTTTATATACCGTATATAGAGAAAAAACAAATTGCGCCCTGCCGGGGCGCCACCCCGGCGAGGTTGAAATTTTTTTTTCGCAGAAACCTCCCCAGGAATATTCTCAACAACTTCCCAAAGTTTCACGGCGATGTGATGAGAGGTGTAGTAATGCATAAAGGACAAACAAACACACTGCCACACATACATTGCTTTTTACATATATAGATAGATAGATAGATTAAAATTTTGACCAAATTAGTATGCAGTTCTATGCACACGCGTCATCACGGCAAAAGCGCTTCATCACGTTAAATAGCTGCGCAATGGTTTTTAGTCATGTAACTCTATTGTAAATAAAAACATTTAAGGTACTAAAACCAATTTCATGAAAAACGTTTTAATAACAAGTTTTTATTAGTCATGTAACTCTATTTTAAATAAAAACATGTAAAGTACTTAAAATTTTTTTTCATAAAAACGTTTTAATAATAAGCTTTCATGCAATAATACACTGAAAAGTAGAAAATAAATTATACATTACTATTTAAATTACTATAAAGAAAAGCGTGGGTCTCTTCCGAAATATTAGTAAAGGTACTAAAGTACTAAAGTGGCTCACGCTTTTCTTTATAGTTATTTAAATAGTAGTCTATAATTTATTTTCTACTTTTTAGTGCATTATTACATAAAAGCTTGTTATTAAAACGTTTTTTATGAAAAATTTTTGTGTGTAGCGTAGACTTAACAAAGTGGCGTCACTAGGTCGGGTGTCATCCGCTGCTGGCCGCACCCCCCTCCCCTCGCTACAGACTAGATATCGGAGAGCTGGCTAGAACCTGAGGAGGGAAATTGTTGAAACACCGACAGTAGGACGGCGCTAAAACAATGTCCAAGATGACCGGCTCGCTACTAAACTGGGGGTAGAGGGGGTTGTACACCAGGGCTGTAAACGTCTGGGTCATCAGAGTACAGGTGCAATCACAAGAACATTCGGAGGACGTCCTAGGGAAGGTAATACATTTATTTAGAAAAATAAAACCGTAGACTTATAGACTGTTTGCAGTGTGTTTTCAAGTATATAGCATCTCCCCCCCCCACTCCCTCTTTTTTTGGATGAGTTTGAAAAAATATTAAATTAAACAAAATGCATTCTTGTAACTGAGTTGTCAACGCCGCCCATCCAGCGGAGGAAAATAGTTGAATGAAATCTTGATTGCTTGCGTGCAAAATCAGTGCCAAACCCAACTAAAACAACAAAATTAACAGCAAACAAAAAAATTGCAAACATCACATTTAAATCATAATTTTAAAAAAGAAATTACAATTTAAAAAAAATAAAAACAACCAATAACGTAATTAAGTATCAAAATGAAGGTAAGAAATGTTGAACGTAATATTAAAAAACTGCTACAAAAAATATAAGATATATTATTGTTGAAAACTGAAATTAAATCATTAAACCGTAAAAGTTGAAAAAATAAAAAAAAATAAAAACAGCGTTACATCCTTACAGGCATACTTCTCTGAGAAAATATTGCTGCCGGGTGTTGAAACTGACCAGAGTGACGTTCTGTCCGAGCACGTTGGGGAGCTGGTCATACCAATGCACGGAGGATACCCTAACAAAAATATGAGAGCTGACATGTTTACTTTTTTAATTGCATGATTTCGTTGAATCTAAGGGGCTCTCTATTATGCGATTAATATATGATCGCTTTGGACGAACCCCCCACCCAATAAAACGTCTGCAAAACTTTCATAGTTTTTACTTTTTCGTATTCAAAGTGTGGAAGAAAAATTGTAATCGTGCACCAAAAAGAAATCTCGACGTTTTACGCCTCCCTAAGTCGGATAAACTTAGTTTTGCAATATTGTCCGTAGACGGACGTAGAGGGGCGCTCTCGGGAGCCCCCGATTACACTAACGCAAGGCGTCGCGTACTGCCCCTGGTTCCTTAAAACTAACGTAAGCGCCATGGTGCTCACATGATAATCTAGGGCGCCAAATAGCACTTTGTCGCAGGAACCTCTCCAGGATTATTCTCAACAATTTCCCAAAACTTCATGGCGATCAGATGAAAGGTGTAGTAATGTATAAAAGACACACACAGACACAAACACACATACATCGCTTATATATATATATATATATATATATATATATATATATATATATATATATATATATATATATATATATATATATATATATCCTAATATATAAAAGCACATTTGCGAACTTCTCTCTCTCTCTCTCTCTCTCTCTCTCTCTCTCTCTCTCTCTCTGCAAAATATTTTCGCAGGATATCACATCAGAATCTTCAGCTATATATATGGAGAACTTGATACGGACTTTTGTTGAAAATAATATGGTAGATGTGTTAAATGTATAAATAAAATTTTATTTAAATGAGAAAAAAAAATAAAGCCATATTCGAATGTAGAAAAACAGTTTTAATTATGCAACTGGAAAAGTGTTTATAGTTTTGAAAAAAGAACGCACGAAACAATGACGTTACTATTTGTTTACACTAAGGAAAGAGCACCCAACTAATGAAGTCATCTTTCGAGTTTAGAATATAAAGAAATGAACAATTTCATTCAAATCTATCTATCTATATACTACTAAAACTCAAGTTTGTTTACATGTTTGAATATTTATTTGTTATTTTGTTTGTTTTTTCGTTTGTCTGATTGGCTACAGGAGAGAATCTGCACTATGTGTAGAGCTGTAAAATAGTATGTAGGTAGAGAACATTTTTTGTTTTCATACAGACTGTTAACCACAAATGTATTTAAAGACGTTAATTAATTTATTGATTTATTCATTGGTAGATTAACCACATTAATTATAAAAGTTTAAAACTATGGCTTTACTTTGAGTAAAAACACTTATATCAATTTTCAACTGTCTTTTTCATTTAGTTATACCACAAATAAACATCAGTGACGTCCGAAGTCTAAAATGTTTCTTTTCCTGAGTTTCCGTAAATGAATTTTTAAAAAGCTGAATTTCATTACTCACTTTCCGTAGGTATATACATTTTTAGGCATCCCTACCGTTTCTTATTCTTTCACCTCCGAACGAAATTGAAACAAGTAATTCATACAAAAAAAATAATAAAAAAAAACAATATCCGCTACCCCCCCCCCAACCCACGTTCACACAACCAATATATATATATATATATATATATATATATATATATATATATATATATATATATATATATATATATATATATATATATATACTAGCTGCATACCCGTGCTCCGCCACGGTAAATCCTTTTTAAATGTAGCAACTTGGGAACAGAACAAAACAAAGAAAAACAACAAAAACAAAACCACAACACAACCACATGGTCTGGTGAGCTGTGGTTCACGCTAAATGTTTACAATCGTAGAGCCGCGATTAGTGATGGCTATTAGGGGCAGATAATTTAGTTTGAAACGATTTTAAACTTAGAAGAGGTAACTAAGAGGAGGCTGCTTTCACGGGATGGGTGGGAGGATAGGGGTTGAGGGAAAGGGGGTGGGAGTGGTTATCGTTCTTAATGACCTACTGATAGTGTTTTAAAGCAAATATTTTCAGTTGGCAGCTTTGGTACTGTCGTTTTGATTTAGCTGAAGGCTTACTTACGATCTACAGCAGCCATGATAGACCACACCTGAAGCCTGAACAGAAATGTAAAAAAAGTGTATTTAGTTCTTAAATTAAAATTAAGTACGGTACAGAAAGCTGTATCTAAACACTAATACAACGTGTGCATTTACCCACTATGTTTTTGATCTTGTTTGCAGGGTGAATTTATCGAAATTTAAGTGTCTTAGTCTGGCATTTTACAATTTTAGTAAACATTTTTAAAATACCAAAGTAAATACAAGAACTATGTTATCAATTTTCATGGAGCTGCTTTCATCTCTTTGTGCACGATAAAAACCAGTCTAAGTTTTATCATACGTTCTACATTTCAACAGCATTGCTATACATTTATTTTAATGTGAGTGAAGCAAATCATTGACAATCATATACCTTGGGAATAAGCGAAATGATCAATCAACTCGTAAGAGCTATGTTTGAAGTCTGTGTCTTTTATATGTATGAAATGCGGAAACATTAATAACATGAAACTTATATACAATACTTGTTCATAAAGGCTTGATTAGCTAACACGTAATGACACTTAGATTGTTAATTGTTAACTTGATCTATATTAGGTGCACACCGTGATGACTGATATTCAGAGCATTTGGTCATACTGGCAGTATACATGGTTATACTGCCAGTACACTTGATCATACTGGCCGTATATTTAATCATACAGGCAGTATACTTAATCATACTGGCAGTATACTTGGTCATACTGGTATCACACTCTACCATACTAGCAGTTCAAATAATCACACTTGCCGTACATACTGTCATAAAAACTGTATATTTGGTTATACTAGTGGTACACTTCATAATAGATATATTTTAGACGGTAGTTAAGGGGATATGCTATGTTTTTTCCTATTTTTTTACAATCTAATATCTAAAGCATTTTGAATACTTTTATCATGTTTGGCATATAAAAGTAAGTATTAAACAGTAAAAAAAAGATTGAAAACAATTTTGGTTGTCATGGAAACCCGAAAAAACCTCCGCCATTTTGAATTTTTTTGTACTTTTAAAAATGCTAAGGCTTTTTTATTTATGCACCTAGAGCAATCAAATTTGAACTGCTTATATTTCAGGATATATTAAAACTTTTGCCACGAAAACTTTTTGAAATAGCTACTAGTAAGAATTTTACTAAGTCTACAAAATCGTATCATTTTTAGTGTTCAAAATTTTCAAAATTTGCATATTAATTAATTACCAAATACTTTTTTTCTATGTAAGCCATCACAATTCCCTCGTGACAAAAATTGTATTTTCACATCAAGAACATTTACTGAAAATATCGTTGCGATTGTTTAATAAATAAAAAAGTAGTAGGCTTTATAGTGTTAAAAACATTCGAACTGAGAAAAACAGCCAAAAGTAACGAAAAGTAGGTCATGAAAATACCAATGATGCCAAATACAATATGATGAGGGATATAAAACTTTTCATAGAGAGCGTGTAAGATTGGGAAAACTTGATTATTTTTAAGTAACAGGGTCATAAAAATGGTAATTTAAACACCTAAAAAATTATTTTCTCTTTAAAGTTATTATTTTCCTAATACAAAAATGGACAAAGTATGCAAAAGTGCAAGAAACCCATCATGACGAAAAACAAGAAATTTTGTGGTTTTTTTGTCGCGTATATCCCCCTTAAAAAGTGTAAAATCACTCACCTTCCTTATTTTTTCTGTCAGATCATAAATCTCCTTTTCAGTTTTGAACAAACCAGAGTAGACCCGAGTAATTCTTTTCTCATTCAATGCGGACAGACTGCACTCAACAATACAGACGAGGTTCGCGAAAATAGAAATATAAAGAACATCAACATAGATAGAACGTCAATAAATGCAAAAATACATTTAATATAAATGTAGTTAGGATAAAAAATACTTTTATTGTCTGTGAGAGGATTTCTGAAACATAACTATAATTAACAATTAATGCCAGTTAATTTAGTTCCCGTGTTTTATTGCGTTTAGTTATATATCAATATTGGATACATTTTTAGCAAGACAATATAATATATATATATATATATATATATATATATATATATATATATATATATATATATATATATATGTGTGTTATGAAATATTTATCGCTTACTTTCTAATTTGTAAACTTTCTGTAACTATGCATAGAAATACCAGGCATCTTAATGTAGGCATCATCTGTGGAAAATAAATTCTCTGAAATTTAGTAACACGTATTAGTCACGGAGAAACACCGCCTTAGCAAAGGGTTTTTAAAAAAATAAAATGAGATTGCGCTAATTCGTTACGTTGCAAATATATAACATTCACATTTATTTCATTTTGTTTGAAAGTATTGTGTTTAATTCAAGTGTTAGATGTTTGAGTGTCAAAGAAACATGTACAAGTATTAATGTTAAGAAGGGCAATGTGGTTTAAAAAAAAAGATGGCACCGCTGGTAGGCGAAGCGTGGGGGAGGGATTGTAGGTAGCCTTTGTAGGGAAAGGAATGGTGTAGGGGAAAACCTGCATCTTTTCATGCCGAATAAGTAAAACGTAACTTCCTGATTACAAATAAAAGGAGACGCTTTTATAATTTAATGTGTTGTGATGTCGACTGTAAGATTTAACATGGAAAGAAAACGCACATGTTTTTTTTTTTAATTTTGATGTCAACTGTATGCATATATTATGTCATACTGACATTCTTATGCCAGTTCTACATTTTTCATACGACATTTTTGTGTGATATCAATCCTATATTAGGGGTCGGCGTGGTCGAGTCGGTAAAGCCCATTGTTGCTAGACCGAAAAGTCTCGAGTTCGAACCCCCGGGCAGGTGAGGCTCTTTAGCTGGGGACAGCCACTCTTCTAGGAGAGACAACTCCAAAATTAAACAACTGCTGCCTTGTAGTTTGTTCTTGGTTGGACAAAGGCTATGGAAGCAAATCCAAAAAGAAAAGCAGGCTGAAATCGGAGTCAATGGCCTCAATGGCGCATAACCAGTTGACACGTAACGCTTAATTGTGTTGGAGGCGTGGTCGAGTCGGCAAAAAAAGCTCATGGTTGAACAAAAGTCTCGAGTTCAAACCCACTGGCAGATAAATCTCGATCCCCTTCAACACTAATAATTAAGAACGAAGAAGAAGAAGAAGAATCCTATATTAATGATTATGATAAGTAACCGACCTAGTCCTTTGATTAACTGTAAAGCCAGGTTGTCTAATTGAATAAAACACATGTACTCTAAGAATTTACCTGTTGTTTGTAGAAAAAAGTCTATTTCTTCTTGAACTATATTCTGTACCTTTGTCTACTCTTGGCGCTGAAATATCACTTTCTGTTTATATTGCTATTTTCAGTAACAACGCCTGCTTCCATCCCCTCTATACGTGAATGAGTTGAAATTATTTTTAAAAATATTATTTTATATGTAACTAGCCACCGGTTGCCCGTTACACGTGAATTATAGGCCTATAATGTTATGCTTGTTTTAGAAATACATTTTATTAAAAAGTTTTTGGTCAAAACGCAATGTGCTTAACTTCATTTTGAACGATAATAGTGAAAAAGCAAAAAAAAAAAAAAAAAACCAAAAAAAAAGCAACTAAATTGCTAAAAATCCGACACATTTAATATAACATAGACTACCAATACCAATTAGAAAAATTAAAACACAATAGGGCCCTATAAACATTATTAGTCAAAGCAAAACCGTATTAATACCCACACTGATTAAGTGTCTTAAATAATTCGTTTGTAAAATAGTGTTTCCGTTTTTTTTCAAACTAATTTATTTATTATTTTTGGCCGAGAAAATTGTATACATTTCATAGCGTACGTTTTGATAAGTAGATCTATAGATTTCAATCAAATTTGGATTAGATAGTTGATTTCGTCTTATTCTCAAATAAGAAGATGTGGGATGCTAATCTTATTAAATATGAAGTCATTGGTATTGTGTATCATTTGCGACATTCGATTTTGATATATATATATATATATATATATATATATATATATATATATATATATATATATATATATATATATATATATATATATATATATATATATATATATGTGGTCTATATGTTTAAAATGTATAATGCTTCTGATGATTTTTAAGCTAAGGTTATTCGTTTTTAGCATGTCTAAAGAATCTACCAAAGTAGTAAATAAAAACTAGAATGCCATTCTTCAAAATAAAAAAAATAAAATGTTCAGTCGAGAAATATCTTTCAAATATGTATACTATGTACTGTAGGTAGTTTCTCATTACATCATTGTGTGAGATATATTTTCTGAGACATTTTGTCTGAGATAATTTGTCTGTGTTGATTTGTAAAAAAAATATAATGACATCTTTTACCTTACCATATATTTGTTATTTGTAAGTGAGTGTGAATACGTGTGCGTGCTTGTGTGCGTGTGTGTGTGTGTATGAGAGAGAGAGAGAGATAGAGAGAGAGAGAGAAAAAGAGAGAGAGAGAGAGAGAGAGGGAATGTAACACAAATCAAACTGAAAAGTCATTGGAGTAAATAACATCAGCTGAATCTCATGTGCGATTATTTACCAAACGCCCAAAGAAACTAGTGTAAGCAAAGAAAGGTTAAACCGACAAACCTTCAGATGAGGAGCATCTAAACCAAGAGAGCCAACTGAACCCCAAATGCGGCTTTTATGTTTTTTAAACTGTGATTGAGACAACACGTGATTGCACGTGGTGATCACGTGATTCAACATGGTATCAGGTGTTCTCAAACAGTTCAACAAGTCTTTACGTAGTTTCAGTTTATTTTTTGAACACCCAAGCATGTAAACAAGGATAGGGGCACAAGCTGCAGAAAATAACATTTAATTTTTTTTAACAATTTACAGTAAATAATAGAAAATAAACCGGGAGTGATCTCCACTAAACTTTCTCGAATATTCTTAAATAACTCGGAATATAGACATGATTTTTAATTACTTAAACTTTTAAAAATAGAATAGAATCTCGTAGAAAAAAGAATTGCACACCAAGCGAACGCCAAAACAAAATTTGCATGATAGTGCGGAATATTATTAGTACTTTGTAAATTTACATGCTTTTTTGAAAAATCAGAAATGGGTTAAATTACTACTTCCGGTCAACGGAAATTACTCAAAATTTTTATAGACGGTAGAAAATTAGATCTTTTGCTTACGTGTGAAATTATTTATCTATCTGAAATAGTACTCAAGTTATAGGCTTGTGAAAGCTGATACGGATCTACGATTTTGATAAAATACTTGTATATGAAATTTCATCAACTTAGCTGTAACGGTACTCAACTTATCGTGCTTACACACACACACAGACACACAGACACACAGACATACGGACAAGATTGCAAAATTATGTTTTTCCGTATCAGTGTGGTGTAAAACGTCGAGATTTGTAAAAATCTCGATTTTTTTTTTGCACGATTACAAGACTTTCTCTATACTTCGTATATACGAGAAAGTAAATATACGGTTATATAGGACTAACGTGTTTAATTATGGGGTAGCTGAAAGGGAAAAGTTTATGTACATAAATTATTTTATTGTAAAATATAAATATAATGATACATTGTGAAACATTTATATAACCTCATATTGTGAAACATCAATATAATCTAATGTTGGGAAAAAGAATAGGTCGGTTATGACGTTGACCCCCTAAACAATTTTGCTATCCGTTTGAAACTTCCAGGCGAGTTGAAAACAAAGTAGCGGGTTGGGAAAAATGAATAGAGGTATTCACTAGAAAAACGGGAACCCCTGACACGCCTTATCTGGCTTATAAGGTGTCAGCAGTAATCCTTTACAGCCAGCTATAGCTGAAATCGTTTTCAGATATCCACATAATTAAAGTTATAGATCAGTGGTTCTTAACCCTGGTTCGATCGAACCCCAGGGGTTCGGTGAATCAGTTACAGGGATTCGACGGAGGTCAAGACACACACCCGACTCATCTGATTCATGATAGGATTGTCAGTGCGAACGATAGAACTATTAATAGAGTTCGATTAATAAGGATATGTAAGTAATGGAGTTCGGTACCTTGAAAAGGGTTTAGAACCTCTGCTATAAATCCCCAAAATTACAACCTATACGATGCAACCACGTTAACGTTTTTTTCAACACCTTGATTATTTTACCTCATCCCTAACTCTAATAACCTTAATCTGTATTTATTAGCCAAAATCCATGCATTAACTTACCTAATCCTTACTTATCGTACAGGCTCAACGTGTTCGCATGTCAAATTTTATAATACCTTCATTTTAACATCTAATTTAGTGTTGTAGGATAAAGGTCATTTGTTTAACAGCAAATAAAAATGTGTTGAACAGTTTCTCGTTGTTACAGGTTTCTATCTATCACATCTTTGGTTTAGCTAGGATTGACTTGTCTTATCGCATCTTCGATTTAGCTAACACTGGCTACCTCTAATCCCCTAATTGGTGTAGCTATAACTGGCTACGGCTACTCAAATCTTTGATATAACGAGACATTGATTTATATAATATATTCTTTGGTGCAGTTGGCACTGGCTTTGAATAAGGATTAGGATTAGGGTTAAAATAGGGATTGGTCTGGGGTAGGGTTTCAAGTTACGGTTAAGGTTCATGTTAAGGTTCAAGTTCTTGCCGAGGTATACCTGTTCTTCTTCAGGTCGATGTTGTTTTTAATGTTCATGTTGATATTGATGTTGATGTTGATGTTAGAGTTGAGGTTTAGGTTTAGGTTCAGGTTTAAGTTTAGGTTTAGGTTTAGGTTTAGGTTTAGGTTTAGGTTTAGGTTTAGGTTTAGGTTTAGGTTTAGGTTTAGGTTTAGGTTTAGGTTTAGGTTTAAGTTTAGGTTTAGGTTTAGGTTTAGGTTTAGGTTTAGGTTTAGGTTTAGGTTTAGGTTTAGGTTTAGGTTTAGGTTTAGGTTTAGGTTTAGGTTTAGGTTTAGGTTTAGGTTTAGGTTTAGGTTTAGGTTTAGGTTTAGGTTTAGGTTTAGGTTTAGGTTTAGGTTTAGGTTTAGGTTTAGGTTTAGGTTTAGGTTTAGGTTTAGGTTTAGGTTTAGGTTTAGGTTTAGGTTTAGGTTTAGGTTTAGGTTTAGGTTTAGGTTTAGGTTTAGGTTTAGGTTTAGGTTTAGGTTTAGGTTTAGGTTTAGGTTTAGGTTTAGGTTTAGGTTTAGGTTTAGGTTTAGGTTTAGGTTTAGGTTTAGGTTTAGGTTTAGGTTTAGGTTTAGGTTTAGGTTTAGGTTTAGGTTTAGGTTTAGGTTTAGGTTTAGGTTTAGGTTTAGGTTTAGGTTTAGGTTTAGGTTTAGGTTTAGGTTTAGGTTTAGGTTTAGGTTTAGGTTTAGGTTTAGGTTTAGGTTTAGGTTTAGGTTTAGGTTTAGGTTTAGGTTTAGGTTTAGGTTTAGGTTTAGGTTTAGGTTTAGGTTTAGGTTTAGGTTTAGGTTTAGGTTTAGGTTTAGGTTTAGGTTTAGGTTTAGGTTTAGGTTTAGGTTTAGGTTTAGGTTTAGGTTTAGGTTTAGGTTTAGGTTTAGGTTTAGGTTTAGGTTTAGGTTTAGGTTTAGGTTTAGGTTTAGGTTTAGGTTTAGGTTTAGGTTTAGGTTTAGGTTTAGGTTTAGGTTTAGGTTTAGGTTTAGGTTTAGGTTTAGGTTTAGGTTTAGGTTTAGGTTTAGGTTTAGGTTTAGGTTTAGGTTTAGGTTTAGGTTTAGGTTTAGGTTTAGGTTTAGGTTTAGGTTTAGGTTTAGGTTTAGGTTTAGGTTTAGGTTTAGGTTTAGGTTTAGGTTTAGGTTTAGGTTTAGGTTTAGGTTTAGGTTTAGGTTTAGGTTTAGGTTTAGGTTTAGGTTTAGGTTTAGGTTTAGGTTTAGGTTTAGGTTTAGGTTTAGGTTTAGGTTTAGGTTTAGGTTTAGGTTTAGGTTTAGGTTTAGGTTTAGGTTTAGGTTTAGGTTTAGGTTTAGGTTTAGGTTTAGGTTTAGGTTTAGGTTTAGGTTTAGGTTTAGGTTTAGGTTTAGGTTTAGGTTTAGGTTTAGGTTTAGGTTTAGGTTTAGGTTTAGGTTTAGGTTTAGGTTTAGGTTTAGGTTTAGGTTTAGGTTTAGGTTTAGGTTTAGGTTTAGGTTTAGGTTTAGGTTTAGGTTTAGGTTTAGGTTTAGGTTTAGGTTTAGGTTTAGGTTTAGGTTTAGGTTTAGGTTTAGGTTTAGGTTTAGGTTTAGGTTTAGGTTTAGGTTTAGGTTTAGGTTTAGGTTTAGGTTTAGGTTTAGGTTTAGGTTTAGGTTTAGGTTTAGGTTTAGGTTTAGGTTTAGGTTTAGGTTTAGGTTTAGTTAGACGTTTAGCTTTATGTTTAGGTTGATGTTAATGTTGAAGTTCTGATTGAGGTTGAAGTTGAGGTTGAGGATCAGGTTTAATATCAGGTTTAGAGATAGAAAAGAAGAAACATCATCAGTTTAGCAGCCATCGTATCTAGTCTTCAATAGGCGAATCATCTAAGCTTTAATATTCCCAAATTCGAAATGTTTACTAAGGAAACATGATATTTGGTTTTATAAAGAATTCAATAGGAATAGATTTTTAAAAAAAATACAAGTAACATTTTAAAGCAGATCGGATAATTGCGGTTCAAGTATAAAATTATTGTTATGAAAGTATTGACATATTATTTAATGACTAAAGCTTGTTTACTATTTTAATTTATCGAGATCCGTGAGTTTGAAGTGAGCCGGAAAAGTTAGCCTTAAGTTTACCCGTTGTGTCAACATTGTTTGATTCCTTCGTGTCATTTCATCAGTTACAGTCAATCTGTATCAAATCAGCAATTGGCATCCAGTCCTAGTGTTATCTATAAAGATTTTGATAATCTCTGACACGTAGATGGATCTGGGCTGTGTGGCCTCACCAGTCACCCCCCCCCCCCCCCCCCCCCACGGACTGCTACAGATTATACAGTTTTAAAATATCCACATCATTAAAACCATAGATTATTAAAATTACAAGCTATACTAAGCATCCACGTTAACTCAATTTTTCAACACCGTGATTCTACTACCCATCCCCCAGCTATAATTATGTTAGTCATGTCAGACACCCACATCGAGAACCTAATCACACAGCCACGGTGTCATTACATGCTAACTTATATAATCCATTCATTTTGACACTTCATTAGGGGTCGGCGTGGTCGAGTCGGTAAAGCTCATGGTTGCTAAATCGAAAAGTCTCGAGTTAGAACCCCCGGGACAGTCACACTTCTCGGAGAGACAACTCCAAAATCAAACAACACTAAACATTTAGCACGAAGAAGAAGTGGACACTTCATTTAATGTTGTAGGATTACATTAGCCAACAAATAGCCTGTGAATTATAAAGGTAATTTATATAGCACTAATTAAACTGTCGAAAAAGATTTGCGATGGGTTCAGATTTCTATCTATACTATATCGGTATAGCTAACAAGGCTAATACAATCCTTAGTACAGATTGCACTCGATTAGTCCTATCCAGGGGTCGGCAACCTGCGGCTCGCGGACCGCGAGTAGAGCGTATACTGACAGCTGAGAGCTGCTTGGGCACTAGGCCCAGCCCCACAGCTGTGCTGGGGTTAGCCCGTGGCAATGGTTCCATGCTTTCTACTACCTGATGTTAACACTTTGTTTTCGAATATCGTTCGATAGTGAATGTTATTTTATTGAGATTGCATTTCTTTATATGTCAGCATTCCTAAATTTGACCTGAGTGACGTAGTTTTTACTTTCTCGTATATACTAACAGAGATAGCTAAAACAATTTCATATTTATTGTGTGAAATAAATAATATTATTTCATACTTAGAGGCCTAAACCTATTTATTTTAAATTTATTCACCTAATCCTAATCAAATACCAAATATTGAAATAAAAATGTTAGTGGCTCTTTAAAAAACTGGGAAATTTTATAAATTGTAAGTTTGGCTCTTCTGTCTTGAAAGGTTGCCGACCCCTAGTCTAATCCCATTTTTAGAGTAGTCAGCATTTTTCAAAATGAAAATCAATCACACTTTCTGCCCCTATAGCCTGTGATGAGATAGTGGCTAGAAGCTAGTGGCTAGACATTTGCTGTCAGCTAGACCCATACAGTAACTGTCAACAAGAGACCCAGACAGTAAATGTCAGCTTGCGACCCAGACAGTAGCAGTCAGCTAGAGACCCAGACAGTAGCAGTCAGCTAGAGACCCAAACAGTAAATGTCAGCTTGCGACCCAGACAGTAGCTGTCAGCTAGAGACCCAGACAGTAAATGTCAGCTAGAGACTTAGACAGTAAATGACAGCTAGATCCAGACAGTAGCTGTCAGCTAGAGACCCAGACAGTAAATGTCAGCTAGAGATCCAGACAGTAAATGTCAGCTTGCGACCCAGACAGTATCTGTCATCAAGAAGCCTTAGATATAAGAAAAAGTCTTAAATTACAAAAGCAATTATAGAATTAGGTCTTTTTAACACCAAATCCAAACATTGTTTGACGTGTCTGATCCGAACATTTAAGTCCATTGACCTTTGAATGTGACATACATATCCACGGGGTTCAAAAGTTCAGAAGGTCGCCAGGTATATAGTTGTCATTTAATTTAATCTAATATCTTTTATTTCCCCGCTGTGCAGTCCCCATCCCCAGCTATACTGCCCATCTCACAGCTATACAGTTTCCATCTCCCAGCTATAGTCTCCTCCCATCTATACAATCTCCATGTCCCAGCTATACAGTCCGTATCTCCCAGTTATAAAGTCCACATATCCCAGTAAGTCAGTTTTTATATCTCAGATATAGCCTACACGGAACGTTCCAACAGAACATCATCACTACCTATTTGGGTGATTGTAATATTATTCTAATAAGTTGTGATGTTCTTTTGTAACTTCGTGTGATGTTCTGATTTGAGTGGTGGCTTGTGTTTTCTGTGTGGGTGGATTATAATTAATTAATACTGATTTATTTTGTACTAGCAAAATCAAAACCAACACACCTCCACGCCTTGTGTTTTTACAGGCTTTTATTTAACTTACTACTATTTAAATAACTATAACGACAAACGTGGTTCTCTTCCTAAATATTAATAATAAATAATAAATAATATTAATGTATCCAAAAGCTACTAAAGTGACTCACGCTTTTCTTTATAGTTATTTAAATAGTGGTGTATAATTTATTTTCTCCTTTTTAGTGCATTATTACATAAAAGCTTGTTATTAAAACGTTTTTACAAGCGTTTATTTAACTCACTTCCTCGTCAGTCTGTCGTCAGTCTGTCAAGATCGAAACGGCCGAGCGAAATTGCAGGCACTTCTAACCGACAGATACGGTTCGTAATTGGAACGTGAAATTTTACATGTAAGTATAAGATCTAATTCTCTGCCTGTTGTGAAATTTTGAGTAATTTCCGTTCATCGAATGTAGTAATTTACGCTATTTCCGATTTCTGAAAAAAACGCATGTGAATATTTAAAGTACTAATAATATTCCGCACTATTATGCACATTTTGTTTGGCGCTCACTTGGTGTGCAATTTTTTTTTCGACGAGATTCTATTCTATTTTAAAAAGTTTAAGTAATTAAAATGGATTAAAAATCATGTCTATATCCCGAGTTGTTATCCTCTGTTGTTTTATATAAGAACGAGCCGGCCCGCGGCATAACATACGCCGCTATTTAGTTGTTGTTTTTTCTACTTTTCAGTAATTCATAATTTGTGAATTCGACAGTACCAACGCTGACACTGAAAATATTTCTTTAAAACACTAAACCCCCTTCCCCCCCCCCCCCCCACGTAAAAGCAGCCTCCTCTTAGTTACCTCCTCTAAGTTTAAAATCGTTTCAAACTAAATTATCTGCCCCAAATAGCCGTCACCAAACCCGTCTCTATGATTGTAAAATGTAAACAGCGTGAACCACAGCTCACCAAACCATGTGAGGGGGTGGGGGGGGGGGGTGGTAGCGATAGAGAGGAAGAGAGGGGACTGTAAGGCGAGGTTGCAGCTTGTTTTCTAACGGCTCACAGAAGAGAATTATATATATAGATATTCGAAAAAGTTTAGGGGAGATCACTCCCGATTTATTTTTTAATGTTACACAATCACACAATCGTACAATTCACTTTACTACAATTGGGTTCTTTTATAAGTGGTAATGTTTAATAACTCACTAATTCAGTGTAAAAAATTTGGATTTTAGTCTTTGAAAAAGCGTCCTCCCCCTCCCCCATTCTAGGCAAAGCTGAAAAACGGTTTTTTCCTGACACTGTTTTTTTTTTGAAAAATATGTTTTATAAATACACAATCAAGATTGAAAACAGTAAAATCAGTATGTGAAGGCTTCTAGCCGTTAAATTTCTTAACTTTGACAGTTTATAATTCAAAATTACAGCTTAAAATGAGCTTTTAATTTTTTTTTCTACCCCTTTTGGCGCCCCCTAAGGTCGGCGCCAGAGGCGACCACCCCCCCCCCCCTCTTGACATTGGGTATAGTACGTATGACTATGACGAGTCATTCTGCAGTGATTTAAAAAAGAAGATGTATATATTGGTTAATCAACGTAAAGTAATAAATAAAAAATGTAAGCTAATTGGAAGAGATGGATAATATCATTATTTATAAAAGTTTGTAAAAACTTGTATTTTTAAAAAAAATTAAGTTAACGCTACCTACTAGAAATATCTTTAATTTAAGTTGTCTGCTTATCATCAATTGTTTTTTTTTTCGTGTTGAAGAATCTACATGCTAGAAGAGCTACTCTTAACACTACCCACATGGGCGTGGCTTGTGGTTGTTCTCATATCTCGTATCGTACACGAACTTCATGTTGGTTTATTGTCCAACGTACTCAAGTGTTGACTAGCTTTACAAAACTCTGGACATGGACTGTAAAACAAGTGTCTCTCAGTCAAAGTTTCAATATTATACGAGCCTATAGGTTTTAGCAATATTATATGAGTCTGTAGGTTTCAGCAATATTATATAAGTCTGTAGGTTTTAGCAATATTATATGAGCCTGTAGGTTTCAGCAATATTATATGAGCCTGTAGATTTCAGCAATATTATATGAATCTGTAGATTTCTGCAATAATATATGAGCCTGCAAATTTCAGCAATATTATATGAGTCTGTAGTTTTCAGCAATATTATATGAGACTGTAGTTATCAGCAATATTATATGAGCCTATAGGGTTAGCAAAGTAAAATGAGTCTTTAGGTTTAAGCAATATTATACAAGCTTTTAGGTTCAGCTACATTTCGTTTTTAATTGTAAGATTGTTGGGATTACCTCTAACGCAATTAAATATTACGTGTCAATATGTTATGCGCCATCTTTATGGCCTGTTAACTCCAATTTCAGTCTGCTTTTCTTTCTGGATTTACTTCTACAGTCGTTGTCCGTCCAAGAACAACAAAGAAGACAAAATCTGTTTGATTTTGGAGTTTTCTCTCCTGGATGAATAGCTGTTCTCAACTATAGAAATAATATTATACCAATCATTAGACTTCAGCAATAATACGAATCTGTAGGTTAAAAAAAAATTATACGAGCGTTTAGATTTTAGCAACAGCAGATGTAACCTGTCATTGAAAGATAAAGGGTCATCCATTTTTAAAATCCACAAATATTTGGAATTTATAGACAATGTTCAAAGATACACTTGCATTTGGTGAATTGTTTTAGAAAATGGCCGCAGTTAATGTGCCACCCCCCCCCCCCCCCCTTTCCGCTTTTAAAAACAACATAATGACCATTGAATAGCCAGATTTTTTAACGGAATCATTTAAGTCACTTAATGAGTGTGTGCCTGTGTTGTGTTAAATGTTTCGGATTTTTAGCTAATTAGTTATTTCTTTGCTTTGTCACAAATATCGTTCAGCGTTTAATAAAGCACATTGCGTTTTGACCAATGACTATTTTATAAAAAAATTTTCTCAAACAAGTACAACATTTTAAAATTAAAATATAGAGGCCTATAATTCACGTGAAACGGGTACCGATGGCTAGCGTTTTTAATAAACGCAAAAAAAGTACTCCATCTCAAATATGTTGATGTGTGAGCTGATGAGCGAGAGTGATTAAGTGTGGTGTGTCACGAACTGAGTTCTAATAATATTTCAATCGAAGGTTTATGACTGTTTTAATGTGTTGTAATGTTTTGTCTGTGTTGTGTGTGTGTGTATGTGTATATCTTTTCCATCATGTAAGTAGTGGACCAAAGTACAGTAAATATAAGATAATAGTAAAAGAGTATTGGAAAAAATTAAAATTTCTAATAGATGAAAAAATCAAACTATATAATATAAAAAAGTATCTTATATATATATATATATATATATATATATATATATATATGAAAACATTTATGTATATATATGTATATATATATATATATATGAAAAAATGTATAAAGAAATTGATAACATATTGTAAAATCCAAGGGCACAATCCTTGCGTATACAAATAAGAAACGAAATTAGTTTAGTTTAATTTTATTGTGAAAAGTAGGGATCTGCTGAAAAAATCAAATAGTTCAAAAGGCGTATCAACAACAATAAATATCCACTAACGTCTTTTCATTTGATTGAATGTTTAATGTCTGATGTCTGAAACATTGATTCCATCAGCTTTAATATTTACGTTGTGTCCTATAAATGTAGACGTCTCAGCGATAAACACGACACATGATTCACAAACGATCCGATGCTGTTTGTTTTCTATGTAGCGTAGACTAAACACAGCGGCGTCACTAGGTCGGGTGTCACCCGGTGCTGGCCGCACCCCCACGCTACAGACTAGATATCAGAGAGCTGGTTAGAGCTGAAGAAGGCGTTGTTGAAACACCGACAGAAGGACGGCGCCAAGACAAAGGTCAAGATGACCGGCTCGCTACTGAACTGTGGGTAGAGGGGGTTGTACACCAGGGCTGTAAACGTCTGGGTGACCAGAGAACAGGAACAGCCGCAATAACAGTTGGCGGACGACCTGGGAAAGGTCATTAATTTATTTTGAAAAAAACAACAACAACATCGTAGACAAAGTGGTTGTTTGCAATGTTTCTTTTAAACATAACATTTCCGCCCCCTACCCTATCTCGGAATGAACTAGAACATTTTTGTCAACAAAATTCATCCAGACTTGTTACTGGTTTTTTAACGCCCATGTTACGTCCATTACAAGTACCCTGCTTGTGTGTGTGTGTGTGTGTGTTGTGTGCTGGAACGGCAGGTACCCTCCATTTGGTGTATAGTTGTATCCCTTGGTTGAGTGTGTTTACATGGAGCGAGAGGTGTTCACGTGAGGTGTGTCAGGTGACGGGTGTCAGAGCGTGTGCCAGTGTGTGAAGCAAATAGTTGTAGTGTGGCTGTGGACGTGGAACGTGGTGTTGAGTATTGTTATTTATGTTGTAGACCCCATTTGATCTTTTATTATTGTATTACTGTATATATATTTAATATCTTATTATTATTATTATAGAGTGTTTGTGTTATCTACTGTTGTATACGTTGTATTTGTCTGTTGCTACATATATACCCCTAGACATTGAAGAACCCAACAGCCCCCCCCCCCCCAACAAACGCACACACACACTCATCCCGCATAGGACAATTTTTAAAAGAAACCCTGATTACTTAGTGCAGAATCAGGGTGTTAACACAAAAAATAATAAAATTAACTGCAAATAAACAATTGGAAACATCACATTTAAAACATAATCAAATAAAAGTAAATACAAATAAATAAATAAATAAATAAAAACCAATAACATGATTAAGTGTCAAACTGAAGGTAAGAACTGTTGAAAGTAAAATTACGAAAGTGCTACAAAAATATAAGATATATTATAATTGAAATCTAAAATAAAACATGGATCAAAATTTTGAAAAAAAAAAAAAAAAAGAAAAAAAAAAGAAAAAAGAAAAAAAAAGCGTTGCATCCTTACAGGCATGTTTCTCTGGGAAAATATTGCTTCCGGGTGGGGAAACTGACCAGAGTGACGTTCTGTCCGAGCGCGTTGGGGAGCTGGTCATACGTCACCATGGAGGATACCCTGACAAAAAAAAATGACAGCTGACTTGTTAACTTTTCTGATGCATGATATCGTTGAATCTGAGAGGTCATCTATTGTTAAGTTAATATGTGTTCACTTTGGACAAACACCGCGCTACCCGATAAAACTTGAATTAAAAAAAATAAAAAAATAAATAGATCTACGTTCTATACACAAAATCCGTGACGCGGTGAGGCCTATGTGTAGAATGAAATGCAAACCATTTAAATACTAATTTAGTCTTTTCGGAAAGGCGTATTAAAATATTAAAGGTAGAATCTGGAATGTACTGAATACAAGTAATGTTAAAAATTGGCTAAAGTATAAATATGTGATGAACGCTAGTTTTATTTAAACGATTTTTTTCCATTATAAAACAACAACAAACTATGTAGAGTATTAAACTTGATTATATATATATATATATATATATATATATATATATATATATATATATATATATATATATATATATATATATATATATATATATATATATGTATATATATATGTATATATATATATATATATATATATATATATATATATATATATATATATATATATATATATATATATATATATGTTTGGCTGCGTATTCTTAAGTCGTACTCAGTATTATAACAAGGCGAAAGGTCTACACCCCGCGAAGTTAGCGTTAACAACTGATGTTTGTGCTGTTTCAGGTCAGTTTCTTTCAGGCATCTTTTGGCGGGGGGGGGGGGGAGGGGGGAGGGGGCGGAAATAGTCTACCGCCCCCCCCCCCCCCCCTCCAACGAAATATAATTTATATAGAAATATAAACTTTTACCAGTGTCCGCCCCTTCGAAAAATTTAGTCCACCCCCCTTGAAAATTTCACGTGCTTCTACCGGAGAAAAAAGTCTGAATGAGTAACTGTTTTTTTTTGCCTCAGCTTAATTAATTAATTAAGGCCTACTCACGATTCACAGCAGCCGTGATAGACCACACCTGCCAGCGCCTGCGTGTCCTGTACACCTGCAACAGCCTGCGACACCTGCAGTGACGACACCTGCAGGATAAATCACGTGATTATGTCAGCCGTATGTCAAGGTCAAATTTTCGTGTCAGCTTACACATGCATCTAGGAATATCCTTCATTTAGGGTCTACTCTACTTGCAAGAAAAATTCTTAAGTTCTTAAAGTAAATGAAGTAGTCCAGAACACTAAACCTTAACACTAAACAATAATACTAGTCTTGATTGTTATTCGTTTTGTTTACAGTTAAAGTGTAAATCTATCGAAGTTTAAGTGTCTTAATTTTGCCATTTTACAATGTTAGTAAACATCTTTTGAATACCAAAATAAACTCTCTTATGATGTTTCATAGAGCTGCCTTCATTTGTTTATACACGATGCACCATACGAAAAGTATAATGTGTATCATACGTTCACACATCAGTGTCACAAATATTTGTATAACTTTATTTAATGTGAGTAAAATTAATCATAGACAATCAGTACCATTAATAATAAGTGCTCAATTATATTGTAATAGATGTATTAGAAGCCTGTTTCTTTCATATGCATGAAATGCGGAAACAATAATAACATGAAACTTTTCAATACTTGTTTATAAAGGCTTGATAGCAGGTACTTATTAATACGTTGGTTGTTGATTGTTAAATAGATCTATATTAGGTACCCACATAGTGGTGGCTGATATCAGTTTATGTTGTCAGACTGGTAGTATACTTGGTTACACTGGTAGTACACATTGTCCTACTGGCAGTATACATGGACATACTGACAGTATACTTGGTCATACTGGCTGTATACTTGGTCATACTGGCTGTATAGGCCTAATTGGTTATACTGGCAGTATACGGGGTCATACTGGCAGTATACTTGGTCATACTGACAGTATACTTGGTCATACTGGCTGTATATTTGGTCATACTAGCTTATACTTGGTTACATTGTCAGTACACTTATACTGGTAGTACACATAGTCATACTTACAGTAGACCTGATCTTACTTGCTGTATACTTGGGCATACAGGCATTATACTTGGTCATACTGGCAGTACACATGGTCAAACTGGCAGCACATTTGTTCATACTAGCAGTATACTTGGTCATACTGGCTGTATATTTTGTCATACTGGCTGTATATTTTGTCAATCTGGCAGTATATTTATCCTGGCAGCAAAGACAGTCATACTGGAACTAGACAGTAGTTCAACAGTCTAAAATCACTCACCATAGTTTCCATTTGTTTCATAACAAACATCTCCCTCGTAGTTTTGAACAAACCAGAGTAGACCCGAGTTATCTCTTTCTCATTCAATGCGGGCAGACTGCACTCAACAATACAGTTGAGGTTCGGGAGATTGAAATATAAAGAACATCAACATAGCTAGTACATCAATACATTGGAAAATATATTTAATATCAATGTAGTAAGGATGAAAAATTATTTTTATTGTCTGTAATTTAAGAGAGGATTTCAGAAAAAGAACTTTAACTAACAAATAATGCCAATTCATTTAATCATCTTGTTTTATTGCGTTTTGTAATATATCAATATTGGATGAATTTTTAGCACAAACGTACATGTGATATAATATTTATTACTTACTTTCTAATCTGTAAACTTTCTGTAACTATGCAAAGCAATACCATGCACCATAATGTATGCATCTTGTGTAGAAAATAAATTATCTGAAATTTAGTGACATGTATAAGTCACGGAACAAATACACCGACTTAGCAAATAAAATGAGATAAAGCCAAATTGTTACGTTGCATATGTATATATATATAACATTCACATTTATTTCATGTACTTTGTTTTGAAAGTAATGTGTTTAATTCAACTACTAGAAGTTAAAATGTCAAAGCAATCAATAAATAAATGTTAGGTAGGGCAATGTAGTTTCCAAAACAGGTGACGATGAGTAGGCGATTCGTGCGGGGGGGGGGGGGGAAGGGAAGGATTGTAGGGTGAGGATTGGTGTAGGGAAAATCTGCATCTTTTCGTGCCGACCCATTAAAACGTAACTTCCTGATATCAAATAAAAGGAGACGCTCCTATATTTTACATTTGTTTGTGATATCGACTGAAAGATTTAACAGAATAAAAGGAAACACACCTATATTTTCAATTTTGATGTCTACATTTTTCTTATGACATTTCAACACTCTCATGTTTTATCAATCCTATATGATTATGTTAAGTGGCTGATTTTCTTTTGGATTAACTGTAAAGCCAGTGTGTCTGATTGAGTAATACACCGGTATCATAGGAATTTTCCTATTGCTTGTAGACAAAGTTTATATATATATATATATATATATATATATATATATATGTATATTTATATTTATATTTATATATATATATATACATATATATATATATATATATATATATATATATATATATATATATATATATATATATATATATATATATATATATATATATATATATATATGATTTCGGATTTCGGACGTTGACATCCTGAATTATCGCACCCATTGAACCAAGCACCCACTGTCGCCTCTAAACATATATCACATTAGAACAAATGTTCAACATTGTCACACTACATTACCTCTTCGCAAGTATGGTACTACATTACCGCATGACCCACATACGACACTACATAACCTCATACTGCCTGATACTATATTTACTCCATCTTATCTTTGACATCAAATTAAAAAAATAGTATAAAGACGCTTTAAAACATCAGCGTTTAGCCACTCCTTAATGCTTGCATGCATGCATCAACCGCCCTCTGTGTTTATACTACGGAAGATTTGTTCCATTATCGATTGGGTCGACCTGTTCAGTGAGATCTTAATGGGAACGATAACTGCTTCACTGGTTAGCTGATACACATAATGTTGTTTGTATAGTCTGAAGGGAAATCCGTAATGGGCCCTATCGGGTCGACCTGATACACAAATTAGCGATATGATTGTATGCCAGATTAGGATGCCTGTTATGTTTTAGACGCTAGGAATTTGTATTAACGAATAGTTAGGATGGCTTCGTGTGAAGGCTGTCTTTACAAGGTAAGTTTTACTTCAAATAAATGTATAGAGACTGGCTTTAAAGATGGACTTTAATCTAAGTCTGCCTTAAAATATGTATCTAGTTGCTCGAATAAGTTTGATTAAAATTGCCTTTGTAATTAACAGAAATATTTCCCTTAAGACTGCCTTAACTCTAATATAAATTGACAGAAAGATTTCCCTTAACACTAATATAAATTGACGGAAAGATTTCCCTTAAGACTGCCTTAGCACTAATATAAATTGACAGAAAGATTTCCCTTAAGACTGCCTTAACACTAATATAAATTGACAGAAAGATTTCCCTTAAAACTGCCTTAACACTAATATAAATTGACGGAAAGATTTCCCTAAATTGTCTCCGCACACAAGACAGTCTCTATTACAACTCTGTTTATCAAGATTGCATTTATATCAAGGTCCAATAGTAGCATAACAGTTTTGATATGCTGACGTATACAAGTGTATTGAATCTCCATTGTGCTTTCAGTATAGATCTACTTACTTTAATTTGTGTGTAATCATGTGTATTAAATCTCCATTTTGCCTATAGTATACTTTATTTTGTACGTATACAATTGTATTGAATCTCCTTTGTGCTTATAGTACACTTAGGGGTCGTCTATAAATGACGTCACACTCGTAGGGAGGAGGGGGGTCCGTAATTTTGTGACGGTGTGTGATGAGGGGTAGGGGGGGGGGGTTCAGATGTTGCGACGTCACACTTTTGCATCATAAAAAAGCAATGTTAGAAAAAGAATTTTAGACGTCATTTCGCGTTTTAGAAAACTGTTTTAATACATTGTAATAGGAATTGATTAAAATACTCTATTTTGACAGAGTTCAGGCAAGATTTTGGAAAAATATCGATGTTAAAAAAAATTCAACAGCAATATTGAGGGGGGTTGTAGGCTGAGGTGTGACGTCATTTTAGGGGGGGGGGGGTCTGGCTCTTTGTGACGATGTGTGACGGAGGGGAGGTAAAAATCGTCAAGAAAAGCGTGACGGCATTTATGGATGACCCCTGACTTTAATTTGTGTGTAAACACGTGTGTTGAATCTCCACTGTGCTTATACTATACTTACTTTCATGTGTATGTAAACACGTGTATTTAATCTAAATTGTGCTTATAGTAAACTTACTTCAATTTGTGTGTAAACACGTGTGTTGAATCTCCACTGTGCTTATACCATACTTACTTTAATTTGTGTTTCTAAGAACGTGGTTAGTTTCTGTTTCTCACTCGTCAACTCGTTAACATATCCGGGTTACTGAGTTCAACTCAGCTAGGCTGGACTCTCAACAATCTACCTGGAAATACAACCGACCTAAATCTAATTAACGACTAGCAAACCAACATAAAATAAAATAGAGATTCCTTTTTATACCTAGCGATCCGTTAGTTAGATGAATTATAGTTCATATGTTTCTTGACCTCGGCATGTGAAAGGATAGTGTGGTCAGCACTATGCCCAGCCACCTTTAATTTCTAAAACGCGAGTTAGGTACCCTTCAAGGCTGGGCAGTATCAGGGAATTTCCACTGACTTGAATCCAGATTCGAACTGGAGAATGTCGGATTAGCAGTCTAGCGTTTCACAGCTAGGCCACGCAGTCACATACACGCAAACAAACATGCGACATGCTAATATTATGTTACACAACATCCTAACATGTTAAATTTACATTTGGAGTGGTATCGCTTAAAAATATCATACACCGTTATACAATGTATCACGGGTTGGGCCCCATAACGGGGTGGGCCCTTATAATGTTGTGTGGGCCCCATAAGGGGTGGGCCCCATAACAGAGGTGGGCTCCATAAGCTCAGAGTCTGAGAGAGGTAGATACTCCTCATATAATGCGATGTTTGTGTCGGGTATGGTACGGTGGCAAAGGCCCTTATTACTTTAAATTTAATTGCAGGCTTTCTCGGTGTCTCGAAAAGAAAATTACGAGGAATTTTATTTTAATTTCTAGTTTTAGGACAGCTTAATGATGTATGAAAACTAAAGATAATTATAAGTTGACATTCATTGTATTCGTGGTTGGGTTTAGGTACAGTTGGACTATCTGAACTTAGGTACATAGAAAGAGACGATCTTGACTTAGGTACAAGATTTAGAGAGACTATCTTAACTTAGGTACAGAGATCTAGAGAGACTATTTAGACTTAGGCATATATATCTATAAAGAATATCTTGATTTAGATACAGAGTACTAGAGAGACTATCTAGACTTAGGTACAAGATCTAGAGGGACTATCTAGACTTTTGACTTCGGTATAGTGATCTACTAGACGATCTTGACTTACTTAAAGAGATTTAGAGTGAGAGGCTATTTATACTTAGCTACATTGATCTAGAGAGACTATCTGGACTTTTGACTTTGATATAGAGATCTACTAGATTATCTGGGAGAGATCTACTAGACCAGGGGTTCCCAACCTTTTTTTTTACTCTAGAGCACATTCTAAAATATCGGTAGGGTGGCGGGCACCACCTATTTTAAATCGAGAAACTCCTTCCATAACTTGTCATTTTCCCATAATTTATTTTCTTATAGTCATAATGTATTAATAAATAATAAACAAAATGTTTCAAAATAATAAAATTATTTGGAATTTTTTTCAAATTGCATACACACAGAGAAATGTATTTACACAACGTAAATAATGCAGTCTGGCTCGCCGCTAGACAAGTTGGGACAAGTATCGAACATATTTAATATACCTAGGCAGTAAAAAAAAAAAATTAAAACTGTAACAAATGAATAAAAATAAATCATATTTAAAAATAATGTTTATGAAAAAAATTCTGTCTCTGTCGAATAGTGAGAGGGGGGCACATACGAATCGTTGAGCGGGCGCCTTGGCGCCCGCGGGCACAGGGTTGGGAACCCCTGTACTAGACTATCTGGGCAGGTATAAAGATCTAGAGAGATATCTTGACTTAGGTATAGAGATCTACTAGACTAGCTACATCTAAAATATTTAAACGCGTTCGTGAACCTTGAAAATCAGTGTGTAATGGTGTTAGTAGAAAATGTAACTGCAGTTTGGCATAGGACTAAATATTGCTATAAGGCTAGCATTGACATTACTGATATAACACCAAGTTTATGAATAGTTCCTCATAGTATCAATATCAGTAGACTAACCTTAAAATAGATGTTTATTTTAAATAACAATATAAATAAAATGTTTTACCTTAATAATCAAGACAAACGTAATCCGTGAACTTTTTAAAGGTTTAAACTTTCTGAATCAAGTAGATATCGTTACTTCCTTGATAAAAACAGAAGAGGCACATTGATTTCATCTATATTTATTAACTCTTTCTCCCCAATGCGGTAGTGTACATTACAATGATTATCCTGTAATTAATAAGAGATCCGCAAGGGGAAGTAATGTGTGACATTGTTCGCGAACTAGCGTCAAGTTCTGCAGCGAGGCAGAAAGAAACAAAACACAGCCAAGAGAAAAGGGAATAATATTCTGGTCACAAAAGAATGTACGTACCGCACGACTAGCTTTGTGTGGTTGGCGGGAATTAATGACATTTTTTTTTTCAGGAGTATTCGTGCATACATCACTTTTAATAGCTGTCCGGATTTCCTGCAGGATTTAATTAACATTAAGATAATTTTAGCCGTCCGTTTTGTACGTTATGTTATATAAATAAACTAAACAGAAGAAAATGAGTTATTTTTAGTTATAAAAAATGGTTGAATAAATACTTACAGTATAAAAACTATTTTATTTATCGTATTTTAGTTATTCACTTAACGTTTTAGCAAGAGATTAATTTTGATAATTTAACACCGAGTTAAAATGATGCTTTAGATTTTGTGTAATCAGTTTAAGCGTTAAACATAAGGCTTAGTCATTTTTTTGTTTTTATGAGAGATCAAAATGGCTTAGTTGCCGTGTTATACGGAAGGTGTTGGGCATTTAAAACCTACTTTATATACGGACGGAGTGGTCTAGCGGTAGAGAGTTGGACTGCTAACCCGTAAGTCTCGAGTTCGAATCCGGGTTCAAGTCAGTAGACCGTCCCTGAGTCCACCCAACTTTGATGGGTACCTAACTCACGTTAGGGAAAGTAAAGGCGGCTGGGCATAGTGCTGACCACACTATTATCTCTTCATATGCCGAGGTCACAGAAACAAGTGAACTCTACTTCACTTGCCCCATAGACCGTCAGGTTTGAAAGGGAAACTTTACTTTTTTTTTTATACACGGACAAAGTGGAGTGCGAAGAAGGCGACGGGGCGTGGCCGGATGATAGAGCAAACGAATGCTAAGCCGAATGTCTCGAGTTTGGTTCCGGTGGTCGAGTCTGTAGAAGTCCCTGAGTCCACCCAGCTGACCAGTGTTTCTTCCTTTCTTCCAGGCGTCTCTAAGAGGGGGGACAGGAAGGGGGACGGAGCCCCCCGAAGAGAGTCTAGCGTCCCCCACCCAGCGAACGAAATGGAATTTATATACAAAGTATATACTTCTAACAGTGTCCGCCCCCCCCCCCCCCCAGAAATTTTAGTCCGCCCCACCCTCTTCCCGAAAAATGGAAGTGCCCCCCCCCGGAGAAAAAGTCTGGAAGAAATACTACAGCTGACTCACCTTAGGGAAGGTAAAAATCGGTTTTGCTTAAGTCTGATCACACTATCTCCCAGTGTACCAATGTAATTGAAACTGATGAACTCTACTTCATCTGCCTCATCTGTCGAGTGCAAAAAATTACCCAAGTGTATCAGCATACTAGCATTAACCCTACATTATTCACTTGACCCATCATCTGATTGGTCCAAAATTACCCAATATTATCTAAGCGACCCATTACTAGTCAAGAGACCTAAAATTTCCTTTATGAATCAACGTTTAACAACCTCCCACACAATAGTAAACAAAGTTCGTTATATAGATATCGATCTAACTTCAACTTTCGACCTCCTGTATTCGGTTTCGGTCTAATATTTCGAAACTAGAAATATCTATGAGTAAAAGCAGTCAGAAAAAAAACGAAACGAAATATTTACTTTCACATCTGTACATCGAATAACATGGAGTGAAATTTACGTGTCATTTGAGCTGCTGAAATACTGTCCCATCAAGACCATAGCAGCCTGACCATTGTTCAAAACAGTTCACCTCTTGTTGTTTTGAAAAATTGGGTTATTCTACGCTTAGTGTCGTCTGAAGTATGCATTTCAATTTAGCTACAGTGTTTCGTCTAGAGTCTAGGTTGATAACAATGTTATCTTAGTTATGCTGGCGTTTTTTTATGGGCGTTTCACAAGTATAATTTCTTGTAAAATATGTGGTTTATAATTTCTTGTAAAATATATGGTATATAATTTCTTGTAAAATAATGTGGTTTATAATTTATTTCAAAAGGGAAATTTATTGTTTTTTTAAACAAACAATGCACATGTTTTATGCTGACCACACCATCCTTTTATATGCTGTGGTCAAGAAACAGATTAACTCTACTTGCCCTATGGATAATCAGGTCAAAAAAGTGGAACTTCTTTTTTACCACACTTGCATTGGCCTTAATACTTTAATTCACCATGAGAAATATCACATCTTATAACAATACTGTACTTATTTGAAATACATTAATTGCCCAACCTCCATTTTGTCAAAAGTTAAGAGACTCAAATTTTGGCCGCTATACAATTAAATGACCATATAATTTTTGTCAATGATAATAAAAATAAACAAAAGAAAGCTACTTGTATACTGTTTAAAACAAAACAAAAAAGCAAGAAATCACAGGTTACCAATGTATTCTTTTTTATTTCACCAAGTAACTAAAAGTTTGTATCTGATAGGTCAGAATCGTAAAAAAAATTCAGTTCAGGATCCTGCTTTGCACCCTGCTTAGCGTTGTTGAAGCACCTACAGAATGTGGGCACCTCAGCCAAGGTTAGGATCAACTTGTCGGGTTGTAAGGGTTGGTAGAGAGGGTTGTACACCAGCACTGTGATGACTTGGTTGACGAGCATACAGAAACAGTTGCAGGTGCATTTTTTGTCAGAATTTCTGCAGGTAAAGACAGGTGATGGCTGTTAAGGTATTCTTTTCTTTACAATCTTATCTACTCAAGTTTTAGTATAAATTATATGTTATATGTGGAAATGTTATATATTAACTTGCACACACGTTTTAAAAATGTTATATATTAACTTTCACCCACCTATTAGTAATGGTATATATTAGATTACACAAACGTTTTAGTACGAAGATGTATTTTATGTTGTAATGTTTGATAATACAGGTGGACTGACCCATCGGGCTAACGAGAAAAAAAGACGGTGGGCCTCCCAGGAAGGCTCCTGCCATAGGCCCATTAGTGGCACGATGAAAATTTAAATCTAAGACTGGCGGCCCCTTTTAGAATTTGCCGGGATTCTTTGACACAGCCTCTCCATTCCCTTGTTTGATATAAACTTACAGATAGGTTTTAGAACTTATTATATTTTTAGTGTTGGATATTAACTTACAAGCAAGTTTTAATACAAAGATATTTTTTATATTTTTTTCATGGTATATGTTAAACACATGCTTAAATCGAAAGATATATTTTTCAGTTGTCAATTTATGTTAATTTACACACGTAAAATATATGTTTCGGGAGCAGGATATTACCCTCCCCTTGTCAATTACCCCCTCCCCATGTCAACTAGCACGCGCCACGTTAGGGATAGGGTTAGGGATAGGGTTGGGGATAGGGTTAGGGTTAGGATTAGGGTTACGGTTAGGGTTAGAAATAAAGATAGGGTTAGGTTTAGCTATACGTTGGTGGTTTGAGTTTGGGTTTAGGGTTAGGGTCAGTGTTCTTCAAGATTGGGGGACGGGGTAGTTGAGAGGGTGTAATCGACAGAGAGGTAACGACTCCGGAGCATAATGTCGAGGAAAACTTCCGGAAGGGGAGATGGGGGGGGGGGGGGGTGGAATTGACGGGTTGGGGAAGGGGGTAATGTCCAAGACCCATATATTTTTGTTGTTTGATATTAACTTAGACGCACGTTTTAGAACAAAGATATATTTTTCTGTTGTCAAATTTAAATCAACTTACACACAGGTCTCAGAATAGAAATACTGCTTCCTGTTGCCATACGTAACCAAGGTAACCAGTTTTCCATTGATGTCAACCAGCTGGTCATATGTTACAAACCCTAAGGCCCTGTAAAAATTATTTGGGTGGAAATTTACAAATAATAATCTATCAAGAGTTACCTCTAAATTATTATATTATGATAAAGCCATCATTTTTTAGAATAAGGGGCATAACAACATATTTAATTATCGTTAGGTGTTAAAGTAAATACGAAGTATCAATAGCCTATAGCTTTTTGTAATATTTTTTTTATTTTTCTATGCTGGCGAATGCAGCTAATGTGCATAATAACTATCTTTCTCTAAGTATGATTTTTTTTCTCATTGTTCTTAACTTAAATGTTGGATTGTATTTCCTCCAACACAATGAAGTTTTGCGTGTCAACCTCTCATGAGCCTTATAAAACATTGACACCGATTTCAACCTACTTTTCTTTTTTTTGTTTTTGATTTGCTTCCATAGCCTTTGTCCATCCAAGAATAAACTACAAGTCAGGTTTGATTTTTTTTTTAAATTCATATAAATGTAAATGTTGTTTATATGATAAAGTTTGTATTTTAACGCCAAAAATTGTACGCTTACGACTGACAGCATGCGTGGTAGGTCAATCTCTCCTCAATTTTTGCAGTTGATACTTCCTGGAAAACGGAGAGAATATTTATGTTTGATATGTCGAATACATAAAAGTACTCTATAGAAAATAACAAGTCAAACACTGAATTATACTAGTAATTATATATATATATATATATATATATATATATATATATATATATATATATATATATATATATATAAACAAGCACAATATAGCTTTTATCTATTCCACCCCCACCCCCCCCCCCCCCCCTTCATTAAAAGATGATACAATAGAAAATGTATGTCAACTTACTTTAATAACTCTAAATAGTCTGGAATAAATTTCCGGTATTCTGTTCTTGTAAATCTCAACAGGTTTATCAGGGTACGCCGTATCCATATTGTCCAGTGTCCCTTCATTTAGAGTATTCCTAATAGCAGACAAGCTTTGCCACGGTTTCGGAAAGTTGAAAAAAATTTAGAGTTCGAATATTAAAACATTACCAACACAAGACAGCATTTGTGAGTTGAGTAACTAGTTATGGTGTAGTGAACGAGAGAAGGGGGATAAATGGGAGTGAATGTTGTTGTTACGTGTTACCATATCCCGTTCGTCCTTGTTCAATTCTCGTGCTGTGAGATGTTATTGTCCGGTTTGTACCTGTTTATGAAAGGGTATATAAGGTGTGTGAAAACGTGTGTGATTGCCTCAGTTTCGTCCAGATCTCCAAGGTTAGTATAGGTTAGGTCTATACCAGTTTTGTTAGCCACTGTATCATTGTTTTACTAGCTTGTGTATTTTGTGTTTAGAATAGACTGTGTTAGGTTTAGATCAGATAGTGTATATACTATTAAAATCTTTTAGTTTTCAACGAGCCTTTGTTTTATTCAGTCTTGTTTTGTAACCAGTGTGTGGTTGTTTGTCGTATGTGTTGCGCTACGCATCGGATCACACGAAAGGCGTGTGCGTGTGTTCACAACATATGAGTCTCGGTACTCGCATGGGGTATAACAAAGCATTGTTAAGAATCAATACTATGTCGGCCCAGCAGGAAGCTTTACTCCCCCCACAGGGTTTAACATATGTCATGTCTCAATATATCCCATACTTACTTTTTAACTTGTAAAATGATCAAAGCTGACACAAGAAAATCCCATTGAGTCCCAAAGCGCATCTAGAAAAAAAAATGTCAATAAGTTTAATACGTAATAGTTATGCACACAAAAAAAAGTAATAGATTAATACATCTAACTGGCAGTTTTACCATCATCTGAGGGATTACACTAATCCTGTCTTTCCTCTCTGTGGCGATAATAGGATTAGAATTAGGGTAAAAGCTTAGAATAAACATTCTTTTTAAGGATTAACAGAATCAATAAAAAAACTGAATGCTACTTTTTATATCAAAAATGCAAAGATAAATATACGACAGAGTTTATTTAAATTCTGAGATCTTGTAAAATCGCCTCGTTTGATTGTCTGAGTACACTGTTCAGACTTCCGCAAGATGAAAATCATGTTTTTATTGTTTGAATATTGAAATAAAATTCACATCTAGTCAGTTATTTAAATATATTCATTGTTTGAATATTGAAAGAAAAGTGATATCTACTCACTTTTTGTATGTTTAAAACAAAAAAAAAATCTTGTCAGTGTTTGAATATTGTACCAAAAGTCATATCTACTCAGTGTTTAAATATTGAATCAATAACAATATCTAGTCAGTGTTTTAATATTGAAAGAATAGTCATATCTAGTTAGTGTTTAAATATTTGGAACGAAGCCAAACTTGTTCACTGTCTGAATTGTTAAAAGGAAGCCAGTCATCTAATATTTAATGAATATTTTATGAACCTACAATAATATTGATAACGTGTCTGTTACCATAGTGTAAAATATAATTTAAAAAAAAAATACAATGCATAAACTAAAAACATAGACTAAAACTTAATTACACTAACCTTTGGATATTTTTCTATGATTATTCTTAAAACCAAATATTTATATTTTCTGCTTGATTTATCCGAGTGATATATCAGCGGTCTGATGAAATCTGACACAGATACTAGAGAGATTCTTCTCTCCGTTCAGCAACACCTTTGATACAAGATGTCACTAATCCACATATTTGCCCTCGATCTAATTCTTCTTCGGCCTAGTAAAAAAATTAAAAATAGAATCTAACATTAGCTATCCGGATTGTCGAGTAATGTGCTATAAAGGTATGCTATTTACTACTAAAGTCGTGTGCTTTAAAGGTGTGTAATTCACTGCTACTTATAAGTGTCCGGTTGCATGTGTATTAGAGATATCTATATTTAACCAGGTGGTTTTTTTTCATATTTCTAGTGATTTCATCTGACTCTGGCTGGGAAATGTCCAGTAAAACAATGATCTTCATTATACTCGATAATGTTTTGCATGTTCGACCAGCGATAAATGTAACTATGTGTTATGCAGGTACTACCAGCAATGTATGTTAAAGTATTATTTTTTTTAAATATTTCAACTGATCAGCGTCATCATAAAAATCAAGGGAAAATTATTGTAAAATATTTACATTTTTTTTTTAAATTTCGTAAAAACATGGCTAAAAAAACTCAAATAAAGATATAAAAAAATAAACCGGGAGTGATCTCCCCTAAACTTTCTCGAATATTCTTATATATAACAACAGGGGATTAGAACTCGGGATATAGTTGTGATTTTTAATCCATTTTAAATACTTAAACTTTTAAAAATAGAATAGCATTTCATAGAAAAAAGAATTGCGAACCAAGCGAACGCCAAATAAAGATGTTCATAATAGTGCGCAATATTATTAGTACTTTATAAATTTACATGCGTTTTTTGAGAAATCGGAAATAGCGTAAATTAGTACTTCCGGTCAATGTAAATTACTAAAAATTTGACAGAAGGTAGATAATTAGATCTTTTACTTGCATGTTAAATTTCATTTATCTATCTGAAATAGTACTCAATTTATAGGCTTTTGAAAATTTCAAAGTAGTAAAAGTACCACTTCCGGTTATCGGAAATCGCTCAAAAAGTTAATACGGATCTACGATTTTGATAACATACTTATATATGAAATTTTATCAACCTAGCTGTAACGGTACTCAAGTTATCGTGTTTACACACACACACACACAGACACACAGACAGGCACACAGACATACGGAAAAGATTGCAAAATTATGTTTTTTCCGTATCAGTGAGGTGTAAAACGTCGAGATTTGCAAAAATCTCGTTTTTTTTACACGATTACAAGACTTTCTCTATATTTCATCTATACGAGAAAGTAAAAAACATCAATTTCAAATAACATTTTACTATTAAAGAAAAGATAAATAAAATAAAATAAAGTTTTAATCTCATCATATTTTCTCTTTGGTGCTCAAGGCACATGGGGCCGCCAAAGACAGCTCTTTCACCTTTTCCCATTCTCTAGCTTCTTCTTCTTCGTTCTTAATTTTAGTGTTAGAAGCGATCCCCTCCAACACAATTAACTATACGTGTCAACTGGCTATGCGCCATTGAGACCATTGAATCCGAGTTCAGCCTGCTTTTCATTTTGGATTTGCTTCCATAGTCTTTGTCCAACCAAGAACAAACTACAAGGCAGCAGTTGTTTGATTTTGGAGTTGTCTCTCCTAGAAGAGTGACTGTCCCCAGCTAACGAGCCTCAACTGCCTAGCAATTTTCTTGCCTGTCCCCCAAGATAGCTGCGCCGGCTTGTCAGTTGTTTATCTGCCTTGTCCCCCCCCCCCCCACGCCTCCATTGACCTTCACTATTTTCTTCTTCCCTTGCACATTTAGTTATCAACCGGATTAACTTAGTATTGATGAGTCAAGCAATATTCTTCGATTCTATGTTGCTTAGTCAATAATTCTAATCAATGAACTCAAATCACCATAGTTATAGCGAACTTTTTATATTTATCTTCAATTTCAAGACGTTGAAATTCTTAGCTAACAATCTTCATTCTACCAGGAAAAGTCTTCTGCAGAGTCCTATTACAAAGAATGAGGAAAGGAATTGATGGGATCCTTCGTGAAGAACAAGCTGGCTTCAGGGCCAACAGGTCATGTAACGACCAAATATTTGTCTTGCGCACTATAGTGGAACAGTCCCTGGAGTGGAATTCGTCTCTCTACATCAACTACATAGATTTCGAGAAAGCATTTGATAGCATCCACCATCCATCATTATGGAAGATACTAGAGCTATATGGCTTTCCAGGAAAAGGACATGTACTATGATAACCAATGCTGTGTGCGACACGAAAATCAGCAAAGTGAATGGTTCAAGGTAAAAACAGGAGTCAGACAGGGCTGTGTCATCTCACCTGTCATCTTTTTGGTGGTAATAGACTGGATTATGAGAAGAGCCACTGAGGATAAGCCAAGAGGAATTGTTTGGGAACTTACCAACCACCTAGACGACTGTGACTTTGCTGATGACTTGGCTTTACTTTCACATGCCCAAAAAAGACATCCAAGCGAAAACCACAAGAATAGAGCAAATTGCCAAAAGCGTTGGGCTAAAGATAAACTCCGGAAAAACCAAGCTAATGAAAATAAAAACCAAAAGTGCTCTCAAGACCTTTGCGAATGGAGCAGAGCTAGAAGAGGTCGAAGACTTTAAGTACCTCGGCAGCTATATATCAGCAAATGGCAGCATGGAGAAAGAAATTGCCACCAGAATAGCAATGGCAGCACAAGCTTTCAACAGACTCGCTAAGATCTGGAAATCATCCTCACTGCAGCAGAGAACTAAAATAAGGATCTATAAGTCTAATGTACATTCTGTACTCCTCTATGCTGCAGAGTCATGGAAACTAAACAAGAAAGTAGACAGCCGACTCAGAGGCTTTGAAAGAAGATCCCTCCAACGCATCCTCAGGATAAAGTGGGACGAAAAAGTCCCGAACAAGGAAATATGGCGAAGGACAGGATTAAACAACATTGTCTCAGAAGTTAGAACGAGGAGATGGAGATGGCTGGGCCATGTCCTACGCATGAGCAAAAAAAGACTCCCCAACATGGCGCTGAAGTGGAACCCACCCGGAAAGAGAAGTAGAGGAAGACCACTGGGAACATGGAGGAGGGAGATGGAAGAAGAAGTACAGGCTACTGGCAAAACCTGGCATGAACTAAAGTGGCTCGCCCAGGACAGGGTGGAATGGCGGAGATTTGTTGTTGCCCTATACTCCACAGGGAGTGATGAGGATTAAGTAAGTAAGTAAGTAATCTTCATTTAATTCTATACTCCAATAATATAAATTTTTAATTGAAATAAATTACGAAAAGAGATAATTCAATACGTTGTATTTTTTTATATTACATTTGCTTTTCTTTAGTGTATCATTTTCCCTATTTAAAAAAATTAAACGTTTGATAAACAAAGATTACATTAAAAATCTACTTTCTTTTACTTTAGTTGATTTAAAATTACACATTAGTTTCAATACAAAAATATATTATTTGTATTGTCATTATTATATGTTAGCCTGTAGATATTGATAAGGCTCGGTTTCAAAGAATCGCTTTCTTTTGCCATTGTTGATTCACCAACATTTTTTTTTTAGCCGTCGTGTTTGTTATTGGCCTACACAGTAGCCTCAGTGTAGAAAAATTGTTTTCGTTTGCATAGGTAACTATGGTGATCATTTTTCCTTTGAAAGCTTTTTATTAAAAAAGGCAAGATTGTTTTATTTTTTCCGTGCTATTTTAAATTTTTTTTTCTCTATTTTCCACTTTTTTTAAAAATTAGTTCTAAACGAAGTTGAAACTACGACTAAAAATATTTGCTTTAAAACCCGACTTGTAGGATGTAACCTCTAAAATTGGGTCATGGTCGACAGGCTGACTTAAAAGCAACCAGCCGTGACGGTTCACCGTTGTAAACATGCTGATCGAGTAATAATCGCTTAAAATTTGTTACTAAATTTAGACATTTTGAGTAGAGTAATTGCCTAATTGTCATTGAAGAAGAAGGTATGTTTGAACGAAATTCCTGCATTAGAATTGGGCCAAAATTGAGTTACACGTTTTGCCACAAACTCACAACAAGCAAACAGACGTTCGAACTAAATATAAGCTTCAAATTAACTATTTTAACTTATTGTAATTCGAAACAGGTTGGAATAAACTACAGGTGTTGGGCCATGCCCCACCCCACCCGTGAATTCAAGTGAGCTGTATCTATAATGTCTTCTGACCCTTTGCCAGTGACATACTTAATAAGGAACGGTTTTATTCAATCGTGTTGGATACAAACAGAGGCGTAGTGAGGGCGGGGCAGGGTGTGCGGGCTGCTAGGCATATTCGAAGTCACTGAAACAGGTGAACTCTACCTCACCTGCCTCATTAGGCGTAGATTTGTAAATGGTACTCCCACTTAATGCGTCAATAACTTTAAAAAAAAATTATAATAGCATGAGATGCCATGTTTGTCTGGTGTAACATAAATCATATGCTTAGCAGTACAAAATGTGTTTTAAAACAGAAAATAAAATTAGTATAAAGCCTACCTGTGTCAGCTTTACAGAGCTTTGAGATTATTTCTATTGCTTTTGAAATTGTATTCTCAGCATATGTGTTACCGTCACGTTTAGTAGTTTTAAACATGACATAAACTTTATCAAGAGTATTCCTAATAGACAAAACAAATTTAAAAAAAAAATAATTATTATTCTAACAATATTCGGTTGAACATTATGTAATTTTAATGTACGAAAATAATGTATTGAACTAATATATAACAAAAATATATTTAGGATTAACAATGGGCTTATAATTCCTGTTGATGATTTTGAACCTTACTAGATACACTGCTAAAACGCCATCACTGTATTGTTCCCTAAAATTAACACAATTTTTTTTAAAGATATGGCAGCCTAATGTGAATTATATTTAAATACACAAATTTTATAAACTCACAGTGAATACTGTTCACTAAAAGAGTAATTATTCAATTGCGCGAACTCTTTTTGGGTGAAAATTGCAGCAATCTAAAGTTAGAGACAAATGCCACCATTTTAAACTAAATTATGTGTTAACAGCAATACTTAATTTAGTTATTAAAGGGAATAAAGTTAGTTGATAATATAATTCCTTTTCTTTAGAAAAGTTAAATAAGTTTA